ATACCCAGAAATTCATACACAGATGTCCTCCACAGCCTTAACTGGGTATTGAACTCACATTCTTTGGGTCCTGTCACTGGATCTAACCAATGCCCTTATCCACTGCACCATGTGTCCTTGAGATGGGAATACATCTGTGCATGAATTTCTGGATATTATAAACCTAATGTCTTCACCTCATTTTTTACCAGTGCTCATATTGCAATTTTTGCTGTTATCATTCTATGTTTTTACCAGAGCTCATATTGCAATTTTTGTTGTTATTGTCGCTTTTATCTGGTATTCCTTATTACTGGTTCCTATATTGTATTCATTTCTATGCTTAATCAGCTCAGGAGATTTTTGTGGCCTAGCATATGTGCTGATTCCTTAAGTTTACGAATTTTCCAATGGTGTTCATTGTCTATGATCTCAACCTGATTTCACAGAGGGTGGTGATCTCCCTTTTTTTCTCCTGAAGAAGGCCGGAGCGTACAACGGCCAAAACGTAATAAATATGGTGACAAAGATGAGAACAATAGTCTGAATAATGTAAATAGTGTACATAATACCTCATCTCAGAAATATAGACAGATAGTGAAATTATTAGAAATTACAAAAAACATAGATGTATGAATATTGCTAATGTAAATTGTCTCTTCCATTTAAAAGATCTTAAATGTTTTGTCGAAAAATATTACTTAAAAATTTAAAGAGTGCATTTTAATAATTTTTCTCACTTTCACAACAAACATTAAGAGCCAAAATTTGCATCTTGCAAAGAAAAAACACTTTTTTTTATGACATGGATGGCTCACATCAGTCAGGACAAGTCAAAGGTCAATTTGAGTGGCTGAAATGATATTTGTTTTATTGGTTGACATGAAACATGCAACAACTGTAAAGTGAATGGCTACCAGTTTGTAAGTATGTTGGCCAGTAATAAAAGGAAGCATAATAAAAACTAATATTTTATATATATTTGGTTGGATTGATGTGAGTTTGTGACCCTGGGTTTCACGCTTTTGCGATCATCAGACAAACTGATTAATTTTCTTAAAATTTGGGTTTATGTAGATTGCGTGTATTGGTGTTATTATGGGAGTGGGGGGAATCGTTGTCGTGATGTCATCATGCTAACGCAAACATAGATGCATGTCCGTACATCAGATGAGGTACGCAGACACACATACACACTTGCTTGTCCGTCAGGACTCATACATATATAAACATATGTGGACAGTTTCGGATATGACATATGTATGTATACGGGTGGTGTTGTGTTTATACATACTGAGTGCTTTCTAATAAGTACCGCGCATATAATATATAAATAATTATATATATATTTATTTATATTTATATACACATATTTTTCATATATATTATATATATATATATATATATATATATATATATATATATATAAAATGAAATAAGACATATCTCGGCTGATTTACAGGCAAATAAACTAGCATACTCAAGAGCGAGAGCCGGATGTGAATGGGACAAGGCCCCGTCACAAAATGACCATTATCATTGTCTACGCATAAGCCCGACGCACAAGTTCCGGTCGAATAATAAAATAATAATTTAAAGTGTTTCTATTTTTCGACCAATAAAAATGCTTCCTTCCTAATTATATTCGCATCGTTTTTCGAGCCTGTTAAGCCATAAAAAACGCCATAAAAGGGGGAAGTACAACAGCAGTCAACAGGTGGCCAGGGAAGAGACCTGTCACGGTCAGTCAGCAGCAGTCAACAGGAGGAGCGCCACGCCAACCTGCGAGAACTACTATGAGAGATCAACCCAGATCAGAAGCCAGCTATACCACATGGTAGATGTCCCAAACCCACACGTTCCTGATGGAATAAATTATGTATATCTATTTCTGCTGTTGTCATATTTCTTTCTTGCTTGTCTATAACATATGTATATATATATATATATATATATATATATATATATATATATATATATATATATATATATATATATATATATAATGCGATGGTTAAATTGTCACCATTTTATATTTTTAATTTTATGCATCTGGATTATTTGTTTTGATTTTGTCAACTGCACAGTATAGTCGGATCAGTTTGCCACCATCTGTGAGAAAAAGAGCACCAATGACGCAAAATATGGAAACAGCATGATGTACTGCTTGGCATTCGTGTTGTGGAGGAGAAGGTGAAATAAGTTTGAAAAGTGATCAGAAAGCTATTTAGTTACATAAGGTTGGCCACGTGTATAAAACTTCACTCCTCCACAAGCATTTAATTTTTGATGTATGGCACAAGACTAACAAGGCAATGCAAAAGATACCAACATACGTAAAACAATAACAAAATATTTATATATACAAATAATACAATTATTAAGAATAAACTGCTCAGAATTTTTAGCTGAGCTAAGCTAAGTTTCAAAGTTCATTAATGTTAATTGAACAAATAAAAATATTTGAAATGTTAATTGAACAAATTAAAATATTTGAAACGTTCCTTCAAAACATTCTCTTTTGGTACACAGATTTTATGATGCATAAATAACAGTTGCTTACCCTTAACTAGAAAATGAATTATTTGAAACTGTTCTTTGAAAGATAGAATTTTTTTATCAGGTCTCACAATGAAAGTTTTTGTTTTTTTTTAGAAGAAAAAATGTTCTTTGTGAATTAGTTAAATGTTTTGAGTCATATGAATATTGTGAGAATGTTCTTCAAAAATGTTGTTTAGTAAAATAGAACTTTGAATATTTACTTGATGTTTCAGGAAATTTGTTTGGTATTAAATAAAATTTAGTTTTTGTACTTCTGAAAATAATTACGATAAGTCTTGCTGCTTGTTCACCAAGAACAAATTTTGTTAAATAGAACTGAGTGAGAATCTTTCTTGAATTATGTCCTGAAAATCTGAAAATGCCTTCAGTAAACTTGTAGCTTCAGGAAAAAGCTTTTCTTTTAAGTAATTTCTTGCTTGTAAAGAATTGGTAAAAACTCTAATATCCAAGTTAAATTTCTTTATAGTGGCAACAATGTGTCTAGTTGACTTTTCTTTTGTCTCACTGATGGGGTACATTCGCATTTCTTATTTATTTGGTTGTCTGTCACTTGACAGACTCCAGGCTGCCATTTCAAAAATATTGGCAGCAAAACCTGATTGTTTAGGCGTCTTTCATATTTATTGCTATTCAGCCAATCAGCAATTAGAAAAATAGCAAGGTTTGTGTGATCCACTTTTTGCACAAAATTTTCACTTTCACCAAGAGAAAATTTCGTTAAATAGAACTGAGTGAGAATGTTTCGATTTTATTCTTAATATCAAGATCGACAAAATGTCTTCGTAATTATTTTTTTGACAAAATTTGTAGATGCGTATTATACATATATTTCTTAATTCATCTGTTGGGGTGCGTATTATTTATGTGTACGCATTATTTTTGAAAAATTACGGTAATTAATCAAGGGAGATGACTTCAGATAATAAATTATTATTTATCTCCCTTGTTTTACTTGAATATTATTTTATTTTTGTCCGATAATTTTTCCAAACACTAATACTTAATACTAGAAACATTAACCGGACCCGGTAACTTGCTTTCAAGTAAAAATAAATGAATAGACAAGGGACCTAACGCAGAATGAAATATGGAATTACCTCAGTTTATTATAGGTACCTAAAAAAATGGCTGAAAAATAAGTACAAAAATTACTTAAGTTTTAACAAAAAATTATCATCAAAAGAGGAAAAACGAAAAACCAAAGGATATTTTATTAAATTATAATTTTTAATCCTTTTTAGAAATGTTGCTTAAAAATTTTGTTTTTGCGTCAATTAGTTTTGTAAATTTGTGTATCTTTTTTGAGGTTAAAAGACATTGAATTGGAAATTCTTGCAAAAATGAGATAATTGTCATATTTTAATGACATTTTCAAATAAAGATATGTTTACAAATGAATGATGAAATTATTTTAGAAACGGTAAAAGCAAATTGCTGCATGCTGTTTGTTTGAAATATGTGTGAAGTTTTTCATTTTACGGTGGGTTAAAGAATGCACCCCAAAATTTAAACAAAAACGCTATTGCAAGCTTATAATTCTGAATTTTTTTTTTTTTTTTAGTAAGAACAGAGTTGTAAACTCTATTCAAGTTATAATAAAACACTTGAAGAAAAATAAATAATAATTTTTAATTAAATTTCTTGTAGATACAAAATTTAATTAAGTGACATGAGATTTTAAGAACAAGGACAGAAGAGCTAAACAAATGATTGTTCCTTTACAATAAAGAGCAAGGAAGGAAAAGGGCAAAGAGAGAAGAGCTAAACAAAAGATTGTCCTTTAGAATAAAGGATGGCAAAGGGCAAGGAGAGAAGAGCTAAACAAAAGATTGTCCTTTAGAATAAAGGATGGCAAAAGAGAAGGTGAAAAGAACTAAATCAATGATAAATTAATGGATGGAAAAGGTCAGGAGAGAAGAGTTAATTAAATGATTGTCCTTTAGAATAAAGGATGACAAAAGGCAATAAGAGTCCTGTTAAATAAATGATTGTCCTTTACAAAAATCTAAATAATTTTGGACATTGAATATTCAAAATAAAGTTCAAATGTGTAATGGAACCAAAGCAAAATGGATTCAAAAGTTGAAATCTATTTTTATTGATTTTGTCTAATGCGTTTGCATATGTTTGTTCAAAAACAAATACACATTTTCAGAACCTGTTTAGCCTCTGATATCTCTTGGCAACCATTGCTAATTGAGATTGGTCTTTCTTTAAACACTCCATAATACAAAAATATAAGATTGTCTTTTATTAACGGACCATCAGGCATTATTTAATATGAATTTTTTCTTCATCCTGTGCGATTACTCCCACATTGTTTTTCTGAGATGAGATATTATGTACATTATTTACATTATTTGGACTATTGTCCTCATCTTTGTCGCCATATTTATTACAATGTTTCGGCCGTTGTACGCTCTGGCAATAATGTATTTAGATTCAAGAGGTTCAGCAATATGGCATCCAACGCCTGTGGGTGTCAGGTCACCCCTTTCGATGCGTAGGGTTCCTGAAACTGAGGTACACATACTTCTGGAGTAAGCGAGAGAGAAATTCATTGCGTATTGGGATTCAGTCTTTTGCCCACGAGGCACTTGACAATTTTTTTTATGATTAGAAATCTCTTCTGTCCTTTTCCCAATGAAAAGAGACACTAATAAGAATACCTGCCTCCTGAACTCTAATAAGAAATGTCCACAAAGTTATAAAATTGCAGTGATGACAAATTTCCTAAAGAGAGCACACCGAACTTCCTCTCTCAGAAAATATTTTAGTGAATGCAAGCATATAAAACAAGCATATGTAACAATGTATTGAATAAAATTATAAACAAATTATGAACAAATATTACTTATCTGTTATCTACTTTATGCTAGCCATACATTTTATACCATATTCTTCTCAGAGGGTCACAACAGTCATGCAAAGGTCATTGATGAGTTAAAATCTTTTTGAATTTGTCATTCTCAAGTCTATTTTGTTGAACAGCAAAATATATTACCCTCTTCATAGATGAAGATTGTTTAATTGATTCGTTTTCTACAGCTTATCAACCCATTGCAGGTTATTTAAAGCCAGAAAATATTTTTAGATTGTAAGAATTTTTGGAGATAATAATGGTTTCATGATACAAGTCTTACTAATTAACCCATACCTGAGGGGAGAAGAAGAGGATTCATACCTTTCTCAAGGGTATTTGCACAAAGGTTAATATGAAGAACCCAATGAGAATTCAAACTAGGCTCTCTGATTAAAAATTCCAAGCCGTTATCCATAACACCACCCACACATCCACTCTTACAGCATCTGGTATACCTATATAGTCACCCCTCTAGGTACTGACAATGTCTGATGTTGCTTAACTTTTTTGATCGTATGGGACCATGGATAATGAAGACAATGTATTAATCAAAATTACCATCAGTGCAAGATATTCTTAAAACAGAATGGATATGTTTTTCTGAACATATATTCCCCATTCTAGAAGCTTTGAATAACAAATACTCTAATCTACTTTCTTTGCTGTAACCAGAAAGTCATCTTGTTTCAAAGTGAACAACAGTTTGGTGAAACAAAATTCTCCTTTATTTGAAAGATCATCAAAAATGGAGCAAATAACTCAACTGGCAAAATGACAATTTGTCAAGACTCCCACACTCTGTTGATCATCTTAGTTGCTTGTAGCTTTCTCTTCTGACTAGTCAAAGAGGTGGCTTTCTTCTGGCTGAAAAGAATGCCACTATAAACCCATTCATGCCCACTCAATCTCAAAAATGGGAAGGTGGCTTTTAATTGCATCAGTAACATATCATATTCTAACCACTGGTCAGTTTTGATTGAGAAGTCTTTCTCTCAAAGTTTCTCCATAATCTGGACAACCATATCTGTTGAAGTTGTGCAAACAGCACTTGACAAGAATCCTAAACAATCTTTGTGAGAATTAGCAAAATAGTTTACTTGAAGTTATATATCAATCATAAAAATTGGGCATTCATAATCCTATTCAAGGAAAATGACAATGATTAGCAATCTCTGAAAATGGAGAACGTATTTAATCTAGGATTACACCGGAAAAAAGTTATGCTGTGTATTTTGTGGTTTATGAAGTTTGTCTTCTATGAAGTGTTAAATAAAAAGAATGCAGATAATGCAGAGAAGTATTGCTGTTATTTAGAAGCATTGTCTAAAGATTTGTAGAAAAAAAACACTGATCAATGGTTAATTATAAAGGCTTGATGTTTTTACAAGTTAATGCCACACAAAATATTGCTCAGTCACCAGGAAAAGATTATGGCCTTATATATGAAAGTTAATTATAAAAGCTTGATGTTCTTACAAGTTAATGACAGACAAAATATTGCTCACTCACAAGGAAAAGATTTAAACCCTATATATGAAAGTTAATTATAAAGGCTTGCTGTTCTTTCTTACAAGGTAATGTCAAAGTATTTCCCAGTTACCAGGAAAAAAATTATAGCCCTATATATGAAAGTTAATTATAAAGGCTTGCTGGTCTTACAAGGTAATGTCAAAGTATTTCCCAGTTACCAGGAAAAAATTATAGCCCTATATATGAAAGTTAATTATAAAGGCTTGCTGGTCTTACAAGGTAATGTCAAAGTATTTCCCAGTTACCAGGAAAAAATTATAGCCCTATATATGAAAGTTAATTATAAAGGCTTGCTGTTCTTACAAGTTAATGTCAAAGTATTTCCCAGTTACCAGGAAAAAATTATAGCATTATATGTGAAAGTTTTGCTTCATTTTCCTTACTCTCCTGACCTTGCTCCATCTGACTATCATCTTTTCAGATCATTGCAACATTTTCTAAGGGAAAATATTTTCTTTTTATGTATATTTTTGTATATTTACTGAATTCATTTTCTATTTATATGCAGGTGGTTTGCTGCCAGTATAGATTCTGAATTATTCTAATATCCTTCCTAAATATGTCATAGTTACTTGGCATTTACAACAGTTCTTTGTGATGTACTTTAACAATTGCTTTTGCACAATCTAAAATATAAATAATGTTACATAAAACATAAATATACACCCTTTTTGCATTTATAGTGACAGGTGAGTATAAGATGGATCTATGTTTACCTTTTTGGACAGTTTTTCCTGAACCTAATTTTACCCTTTGTCTACCTTTGTTGACTTGGGAGTAACATTGGTCCTATATTTATTTTTTTGACTTGAGTGTAAAATTGGATCTATTTTTAACTTCTTTTTTTACTCTTGTATGAACTAGATATATATTTAACGTTTTGATTCTAGTGCAAACCAGATATAGGTTTACATTTTTGACTTAAGTATATACCGGAACTATATGTTAATTGATTTTTATTTTTATCCTTTTATTCAACACTAAATAATAAACAAAGGTTGGTATAACACTAAATTAACTAGCATTACCAAATCTTGCAATAAGTTGCCAACCATAGTGCTTATTGTATCCAGAGTAATAGACAGTAATAGACATCATGGTAAATTATATTAAACATTGTACATGTTTTAAACCTGTTTTGCTTGTTAGGTATTTGAATTCCTTTTTTGTATATCAAATAATAGTTTAACAGACTATTATTTTTAGGGCAGATGTATCTTGGCTCTGACTTCCAGAGGTTGAAATTCAGTGTCAGATGTAAGCCATAATAGGGAAGTCGATTTTGATTGGCTAAGCCAGCAGGAGAAAGATAGATAGGAGAAAGATTTCAGCGAATTGCTACTTACCTGCCAAGTGATGTAGATGTGTTCTCTTTTGTGTTTGAAAGGGCTCCCCAGTGAAAGGGCCGAACCCCACCAGATAGTTAGATGTCAACATGAACAATAAAAATACTTCAGTTAAAATTCTGTGTCTGAAGTCTTTCATTGCTAAACCAAAACAATTAGACATCATCAGCTGAGAGAAAACGAGATGAGACTTCCCCCACAACCATGTGGCTATGCAATATTTACTTAACTGCTTATCTTACTAACAAAAGGTTCATAACAATGAGGAAAGAAGGAGATTAAAGATTGTCCTGTGAACAGTAGCATGCGGAAGTGGTGGGGAAGAGTGTGCAATGGCCCCGGGCATTCATATCAGGAGGGCGTCCAATCAAAGAGTGAAATAAAAATTTAGTTTATATTTAATTTGAATAAAGTGTTTATTTCATGTTTAATCTGTTTTTACATATTTAAAATATTTTCCTTTCTCATATTTCTCAGTACTAGGCCCTATAGTCTGACCCCTACTTGAGTCTTGGGGGCATACAATCAAGCAGTTGGCCCTGCGCATCACCAAAAATCATCAAACCTCTGTATGTTACTGCCTTTGGATCTGTTACAATTCTTTTCCTAGCTGCAACTCAATATTTCTTTTATGTTCAATAGAATAAACTGAATTAATATTTTTATTTTAAAATTTTACTGTCTGAATTTTTAAATACTTATTATGCTATTGATTTATTTTTTATGGTTTTTCATTGCAGATAAATTTAGCAAAAAAGGAAATGACTTCAGCTGATAAATTAGAAATTTGAAGAAGTCGAAAATTAAACAATTTCTCTGCTTTTGTTGATTAAATTTGTCAAAGCTTTAAACAATGAAAAGACAGACATTTTTTTTTTCAAAAAGAAATTCATTCAAGTATATCATAAAAACTAAAATCATATTTCAAGATTGTGTTAGTTATCTTTGAATTTGAAATCTATTTACTCATGTAGATTTCTAGTCAGAATCTTGTTCAGAAGGCCAAAATAATTGCAAGGAACAAAATTGTGTTGTGCAGATACAATATATAATTTTGAGAAGTTTTTTAGCTTTTTTAGTTTTTTTTTATTATTTCTTTTAGCATTTTTTTAGTTTTTTAGCTTTTTTGTTTTTTTATTATTTTTTTAGTTTTTTAGCTTTTTTGTTTCTTATTATTTTTAGCATTTTTTAATTTTTTAGCTTTTTTGTTTTTTATTATTTTTTTTAGCATTTCTTTAGTTTTTTTAGCTTTATTGTTTTTTATTATTATTTTATTATTTTTTTAGTTTTTTAGCTTTTTTAGCTTTTTTTGTTTTTATTTTTTTAGCATTTCTTTAGTTTTTAGCTTTTTTTTTGTTTTTTATTATTTTTTTAGCATTTTTTTAGTTTTTTAGCTTTTTTGTTTTTATTATTTTTTTAGCATTTTTTTAGTTTTTTAGCTTTTTTGTTTTTTTATTATTTTTTTTTGGCAGTTTTTTAGTTTTTTTTAGCTTTTTTTGTTTTTTAGCATTCTAGCTTTTTTAGTTTTTTGAAATTACTTTTTTCTAGTTTCATTAGTAGCACATTTTGACCGCTCCATTTTCTTGCTATCCTCAGATGTACAATCTCTAAGGAAAGACAGGGAGGCTCTTTTTTTTAACAGAAAATTGTCATTAAATGTACAATGTTTGTAATGACTTTTCTTTAAGGTTTAATTACTTGACACAGTGTTTCCGAGAGAGGGGGAATTTTTAAAAAGTTTCAATCCCACCTCTACCAATATCTTGTCTCATTGCCACTCATCTTTGCCAAGTTGGTAGACAGAAAAAGTAATGGATGATATTGAACAAGCAACGTTCATTATTGTGTGACATCAATCTTTGTCAGTTCAACTTGTTAGAAATATGAAATTGCACAAACAGTGAGTGGTTGAATACAAAATTATACATTTCTACTGTATTGAAAATATGGTCTTCACGAATGAAGAATCTACAATCTTATATGGAAAAATGTGTTTGTTCTTATTAGCCTAATGCTGTATCTGATTCCAAAAGCAAAATAATTTATGTCAAGAAATATATACCAAACATTTGCAATATCCTATATTTGTGATCCTTGACTGCCTCTCTAGTTTCAGCTTTTGTAAACATGTTATAATATAAATTCAAAGTTTTTACATGTGAACACTCACAATGACTGCTTATCATCAAGAATTCACTCCTGACCTTTTATAATGAGCCACTCATAAAAATCATAACACAGTTACAAATGGCAGCTCATCAGTTTTTGTCTCATGGTATTTGAAAGAATTCATTTTAAATATCATAGTCTTTTGAAACATCATTTCAAAGAAACTTCTTTTATTGACAAGCAAAGCATGTTATTCATATTAGTAGCTATTGTTTTCAGTTCTTTTTATTTACCCAATTCGAAGAAAGATAAATTTATTTTCCAAACTGAACAATGCAGTTAAGTTTTTAACCCATATTCCAAAATCGGTAAATCTTTAATTTGGTGAAAAAACGTCCAAACTGAACAATGCCGTTAAGTTTTTAACCCTATTACAAAATCGGTAAATCTTTAATTTGATGAAGAAACGTCAGCAGACATTTTTGGAATAAATTTGCTGTTTCCGTTTTTACATTGGCAATTACCATTTCTAATGCAAAAGTAATTGAATCACATAACTTGTTACCAAAAAGAAAAACTTTCATTAACATTTTTCTTTTTGAAGATCAGAATATCAAAAGTATTGTTGGTCTATTAAAAGAAATAGGAACATTTTTATTTGATCGTAATGGTCTCTCCACAGAGAAATGAAACTTTACATTCAAAGGCAACTTTAAACATAAGATTAACTGCATAAACATCTAGAAAATCTCAATACACAATGTCAAGTTCTGATTTGCTTTAATTGACTTTCTTTTTGCATGTGTGTGGGAGGATGCATTGTCACCAGGTTCTGTCAGTTGCTGACAGGTGTACACACGCGCACATATGCACACATGCACATATGTATGTGGATGGTTTAGGGTCATCGGTGCAGGAAATAAAATCAGTGAACCAAATTCAAATTCCTGTCACTTTCTTTTCATTCACTTCTCATTAATGTCCTTGGAAAAGGCATGAATCAATCTTCAACCAGCTATGGGTTAAATAGTAGCATGGACTGGGCTCTGTTGTCTTGACATGGCAATCAATCTTGGAGAAGGAAAAAAATCTTAACTTGAATCTGAGGAGGGTTATTTGGGGATTTCATAGCATACTGGTTATCATCTCTCAGTTATCAGTTCTGAAAGGTATGGCTGGTTCTACTGAAGCCTTCACTTCTGTAATTAAATATCTGTGGGTAAATGTCTTACTCAAAAATTTTCATTCTCACATTCAATGAAACATGTATAAAAAAAGATTTCTGCCCAAATATACAATATCTATCTATCTATCTATTTGAGTTTGTTAATCTATCTGTCTGAGTTTGTTCATCTATCTATCTATCTATCTATTTGAGTTTGTTAATCTATCTGTCTGAGTTTGTTCATCTATCTATCTATCTATTTATCTATCTATCTATCTATCTATCTATCTATCTATCTATCTGAGTTTGTTCATCTATCTATCTATCTATCTATCTATCTGAGTTTGTTCATCTATCTATCTATCTATCTATCTGAGTTTGTTCATCTATCTATCTATCTATCTATCTGAGTTTGTTCATCTATCTATCTATCTATCTATCTGAGTTTGTTCATCTATCTATCTATCTATCTATCTATCTATCTATCTATCTGAGTTTGTTCATCTATCTATCTATCTATCTATCTATCTATCTGAGTTTGTTCATCTATCTATCTATCTATCTATCTGAGTTTGTTCATCTATCTATCTATCTATCTATTTATTCCAGTCTCTTTACATATATCTATCAAAGCCTATTTCCATATGTGTGTGTGTCCATGTGTTTGTGTCACTTTTTCTTTCTCTCTATCTACTCATATGTGTATTGCTCAGAATGTAATATTATATTAGAAATCTATAAAGAGGTGGGATAAGCATTAACAAATCAGTTAATGATATCTATTTATCTGTGGCAGATAATCAGTTTGTTTTTATTTGATAGAATTCTTTGAATATTTGTTTCCAGGGTTATTTATTTGTTCTTTTTTTTTTTTTGGTGTTTTCAAGATTATGGATCATATCATGATACGTATGTTAGCCAACTTTATTCAGGTTTGTCTTTCAAGTTCTTGCTGAATCTCATTTGTTTGTTCTTGTTAAACCATCCATCTTCAAGTTAACCTACATTCAGCTATATTGTTGTGGTCTCTAAGTGACGATATTTCATCAGAGCTAAAAACAGAAAAACTTTCCCCTTCTTTTACTGCTAAAATTCATGTGACACTAGAATTAGTGTTCATTTACCAACATGAGAGAGCAGTAGGACTTTTGATTCCCAATACAACAGACATGAAAATTTGACTACCACAAAACCAAGAAAAACCAGTCTCTGAATCTCATTACTGGTTATACAGCTTAACTCTCAAAAGAATCTGGGACTGATACATTCAAGTAAGCTAAACAAGAAGAAAGAATACATAATACAAACAAATAATTATAATACTAAAAACATTTATCTATTGTGTCACATATCACAATTTAACACATACCAAAGAATACATGTCTGGAAATTTCTTACCAATATATAATTACATAAAAAGGAATAACGTTCCAACTCAATATCATGTGTCTTCTGTTACATGTTATTTTTTTTTCACTATTCATTTTCAGTATTAACCTGGAAGATTCCTCTGCTACAATGTAGAGCTAGATAGTTAAAATTACAGTAAATTGTTACACTTTTTCCTTTACTACTACAACCAAAACCCCATAATAGTCGTAACTTCTCCTAATTTGTAAAAATTGTGACAAGCAGTACTAATTGCTTCAATATAAAAAAATTGGAGATTTATTTTTACTTAATTGTTTTATTACTAGATTATAAATTTGTTTTATCTTTAGTTTTGAGGTAAAGTGCTGTTTTTGTTTAGTAACTTATTGAAACAGGTATCATCATCTTTGTTGTTTTTATCTCCTCATTTCAGCTGATACATTCTCAAGGTGTCTTTAAATTTAACTAAGAGTTTTTTTTTTATTTTGATCTACAGTTTCTCACTGATTCAAGCTCTACAGATAAAAACTCAAAATCTAGAAATTTCTAGAAATTCTGATTATCAAGTTTGGTTAATATGCATGAAAATATACAACTTTTTATACTCAGAAACACACACACCTACAAAACATCACGACTGATTTGTTTGTTTAATATGCCATTTGCAATGTTCAGAATAATGGATATGACTCATAAATATCCTCCAATCTGGAAAATGAAAAACTGACTTTGTGTTACATATACATTTGATATGAAGTCATAAACTTAATTCATTGCAAATTCTCTCATTTATGTAAAATGATTTTTTCGCTGTTTAAAATTCATTCAGTTTTAAGTTAATAGAATTTGGGTGGATTTATTTTCTTTTTTACATTTAAAATGTTAATCCTGTCCTTTCTTCACACATTGGTTTCAAAAATACTAAATCATACGGAAATAAAACCTCAAATAAAATAAAAAAAATCAGTCAACTTTTCTTTTTAAATCAGAGTAACTTTCATTCTATTATATTAATCCAAAAGTTCTCAACAACATCTTCAAAATATTAAGAAAATCTTTGAAGCATCTTCAAAGTTTACTCAGCTTTTTATTCCATGTGCACACATACCATTTTTAAGAATTGTTCATGAAATTTAATTTTGGGGGGCAAAATTACTGGCTGGATATAAATTCTGATATGATAAAATATGAAACTATTTACTCTTCATATATATTCGGAGAAAGGAGTAAATAATCCAAAGAAATGAGCCACTGATATTTACAAGAATTATACAATCAGTAGGAGCAATCATGTTGAGAATGTTAATTTTTTTTAAAAAAGCACGTTTTCAGGTCACATATAAAGGAAATTCTTGAAGGCTATATAATGTCAGATTTTATTGTGCAAGTCAATATTTTCATAGTATAAACCAACTAACATTGGTAAATGTTCTATGATATATTCAAATTTATATGATAAATATACCATATGAATGTAAACTTATCTGTTTTTATAAGAAATAACTAATTTAGTGTTGTAGTATATTATTATGCAAAGCGATGATTGTTGACTGTATTGTAAGTAAACATATTTCATAGTTTTTTTTATTGATAATTACTTTACAGCTTCAGGTTTTGTTGTAGCATGCCCATGGACGATAATGAGTATGTCCCCATTCACATAAATACAGTAGTAAATATTGTATGTTGGTCTAGAGTTGGAGATTCATTTCCAGCTGTGCTGGTCAAATTCTCTGCCTCCGGGCAAAGAGGATTCTCAGAGGAGAGAAACAGCTACCTGACCCCATTTTATACAGGGTCTATGGGGAATTTTTGGCCAATCCTACGGGCTCGGATACCCGTCATTAAATTCAGCCTTGTGCCATATCTGACTGCGTGGGATGGTTGGTAGATATTCTAAAGTTGGTGATTCATTGTGGAATTCACTTGACTCACTTCTAGCAGTTGACTACTTCTTCTACGAGCTGCTGGCGAATCTTATATGTGTTGTTCTTGTCCTAAGTATTATCGTTCATTACCAACCTTCGTGTGATTATTCTATTCAATAACCTTCCCTAGGTTACAACAGGTTTATAAAGATTATCATGGGTTGTAAGAAAGATATTACTTCAAAAGAGAAACAAAATATTGCAAAGTTATTCAAAGATGGAGAAAAATGTTGGAAATGACACAGAATTAAACAGAAATCATAGAAAAAAATTGAAAAAGAAATTCAAAATATTAGTAATGTAAGTTGTGCAAATAAGTAAATGAAATCTGATTTCTCACCAATTTTTATTGATGAAAGTAGAGCTACATTGGTTGGATCTGATGGCTGTGCTAAAAGTTGTATCCTTCATAGAAAATGTCAAATAACATAAATTGAAATATAACAGTAAGGAGGTGGGTTGATGTTTTGGGTTTGTATTATCAGTCAGTTATGTGCCATGCGTGATACACACTTAGCCGATCATGTATCTTTCGATAAATGATTGACAAGGTAGATTTTTTCCCACAGTAAGGTTGCCATTTCTTTTTGCGGTAGATCAGTTACCATCCAAGCCTATAGAACCTGGTCTGTCCTGCTATTTACCCATAGCTGGGGGGAGAAGAAGAGGATTCATACCTTTCCCAAGGATATTAGCATGTAAGTGAATGTAATGGATTCAACTGGAATTTAGACTCGGCTCTCCGATTCCTCAATCCGAGCCATCATCCATTACTCCACCAGGCCTCCTATAAAGTCACTTATGTCACATGCATGATACATGCATAGGCGATCATATATCTTTCGATACATGACTGATGGGGCAGATTTTTTTTCCCGTAGTAGATTGCCATTTTTTCTGCGCTAGACCAGTTGCCATCCAAGGCTATAGAACCCGGTATGTCCTGCTATTTGCCCGTAGCTGGGGGTGGGGGGGAGAAGAGGATTGATACCTTTCCAAAGGATATTAGCATGTAAGTGAATCTAATGGATTCGACTGGAATTCGAACTCGGCTCTCTGATTCCTCAATCCGAGCTGCTATCCATCACTCTACCGTTTGTATTGTAGGCAGTAAAATTATAGGTTCCTTCAGATTTTATGATGTTATCACGGTCAATACAGAGAACTTTTTTGATAACACATTTTTGAATGGCACAGATCACAATCAAGAAGCTTTAGACTAAACAGTATATTTATATAAGACAATGCTACTTCAAACTTTACAAAGTGATAATTTACTTTGTCAAAAAGGTTTAAAAGACATCAAATTAATGGAATGGCCTCCATCTTCTAATATTAATTCAATAGAAAACTTTTGGTCTATCATTAAAAGAGATGCATGTGAGAAGAGAAAACAAGATTCAAGCAAGGAAGATTTCTGGAAATCAATACAAACTGTTACAGTTAATGTAAAATTCAAAATACAAGTTACCAAAATCAATGGAAATAGACTGATATAAGTTATAGAATGTCAAGGATTCCTTTTCATAAGAAAATGATAATTCATTCAGGTATACAGAATAATGTGTTAGTCAAATATATGTTTCTGCGGCCTATATCTTTGGGACTTATTTATATAATCATAAAACCTAACTCCTGTAAAGTGTGTTATTATGAATATTTTTAATAAAGATATATATTATAAGCTGAAAGTCACTTGATATATTGCTCAAGGAAATGTATCTTTTACTAGCCATGAATTGGTTAAAATCATTTTTATTGGGAAAACTGATCTACATCAAATTATTTTAGTATTATCTACAACATGTTACTTTCTATTCAAATATTTTCTCATAAAAACCTTCATCTGACTGGCAACAGCTTGATCAGTCAAACTGATATAGGCATTGCTAAATGTAATAGTATGTTTCTGTAAGAAGGCACGGTGGAGTAATAGACAGCAGCTCAGATTGTGGAATCAGAAAGCCAAGTTCGAATTCCAGTCGAATCAGTTACGTTCACTTATGTGCTAATATCCTTGAGAAAGGCATGAATCTTCTTCTCTCCTCAACTAGGTGTAAATAGCAGGACAGACTGGGTTCTATAGCCTTGGATAACTGGTCTACCTCAGAAAAAATGGCAACCTACTGTAAGAAAAAAAAATCTGCCTCATCAGTCATGTATCGAGAGATACATGATTGCCTAAGCGTGTATCACACATGGCACATAACTGACTGATATTGTTTTTGCTCTCAGAAGCAAACTGTATAAATGGATAGTGGCTCAGATTGAGAAATGAGAGAGCTGAGTTCGAATTCCAGTCAAATCTATTACATTCACTTACGTGCTAATGCCCTTGGGAAAGATGTGAATCCTTTTCTTTTCCTCCCAGCTATGGATAGACTGAGTTCTATATCCTTGGATGGCAACTGGTCTACCACAGAAAGAAATGGCAACATACTGTCAGTCATGCATCGAAAGATACATAATCACCTAAACATGTATCATGCATGTCACATAATTGACTGAGGTTTTCATGATAAAGCATGGGAGTTCAAGTATTAGATATCAGCAAAAATATCACCAATAAAAAGCTGCAAAACATGAAGATATTCATTAGAACCAAGTTTAGAATTCCCTAATGTAATTCTGAATGTTTTTTCCCAGTCTTTGTAAAAGGAAATCCAATATAACTTTGAAAGGGAACTGATTTCTTTATCACTGTGTGTGAATGGTATTGATTGACTTCAATAAAATGTTAATGGATTGATATAACAAATAAAATGAATAATGCATTTGCATAACAATATGCCTTTTTTTCCCTTCTTGCTATTTCAATTCACTGATCATTTGCTGTGTTTTTGTAATGAAAACCAAAAAATTTGTTCACTTATTGGCTATTG